AGGGGGCTCCGGATTCTCTCCAGACAGCCCGGGCGCGGCCGGGGCGGGGAGCCTCTTGCAGCCCTAACCCCATCCGCGTCTTGGCCACCGCTAGCTGGGACCCAGAGTGAAGATTCTGCTCCGAGCTCCTCTGGAGGGGCCTCAAATCTTTTTCTCTCTCGACCTCGGTGGTTTTTCGACCCGAAGGGCACCCTGGGGAGCGGTGACTCGCCCAGAGGGCTTTTCCTGCTGTTCCCACACTGGGACCCCCAGATACCTCCTCCAGCTGCTCGCCCTCCCCCAGCCGCATAGGAAGTGGTTTTTGAGGGCTTGACCCCACAGACTGCGCTGTCCCCCGCCCTCCCAGCCTGGAAGGAAATGAAAGGGAAATCCTCTTGAGCTCTTGGGAGGGGGGCTAGTAGGGGGAGAGGCTCCAGCTGCCAGCGCCTTCTCCAGAAACCTGGGCCGGCTGCTTGCAAAGTCTGCTCTTGGGTGGATTCAGTTACAACGTCGGAGGGGCAGTGCATCTTCCCCAGCTAGATAAACACACAGATTGCCAGCAACTCCCAGCCCTTGTGAGGGTCTTAGGAGGCTTCCTATATACTACTCCTCTCTACTGGCCCCCCTCCCCCACCCCCACTTACCCCTGCTTCGTCTGGGAACTGCAGACACCCTCTGTGGCCTTCACTCACTCCCCTCTAGCAGCTCTCTCTGTAAAAGTCAGGAGGAGGGGGTGAGGGAGAGAGGGGTGAGGGAGAGGACACACAGGAGGGTCATTTTCCTTCTAGACTTGAGCACGCCCGTTAGCTTTAGGAGAGCCAGAGGCCTGAACGTTTGTGGGAGAGAAGGCCTGTGTAGGCACCAGTGCACTCGGGATGAACAGTGAGACAGAGGGTCGCCCTTTCTGGCCCCATCATGCGTTCAACTCTGCCGTTACTGACTAGGGGAGACAAGGCCATGTAAAATGCTGGCCTCGGGGCTAGAGGTGGGTCAGCACCAGGCAGGCCGAGAGGACTGGTTGACCTGTGTTGGCCTGGTTGGGCACAGTTGAAGGAGAGGAGCGTGGAGAGGCAGCCTTTGGTGCCAGGAGAAAGAATTTGTATGCCAGAGCTCTTTGTAAATTGTAAAGCACTCTCCACACGAGGAATTATTCTTGGCTGGGAATCTTTCTTTCTTGTAAGAGACTTTGCTGCCTCTTCAGGGAACTGCCTTCAGGGATCAGTGACTTTGGGGGACGGTTTGTGGGGTCTGTCTTCAGTGCTTGGGTCATCTGTTACCAAACATTTGTTGAGCTCTGTGTGGGCCCCTGGGGATTCATTCACAGGCTCAGGGGCTCAGATTAGAAGACAGGATGATACAGGGCGAATGGTTTCATGATATCATGGGGGTCCTGTGGAAGCCCTAAGGGAGGAGGATGACTGCGACCCGCAGGCCAAGTGGGGGTCACTAATCAGCCCCTACTAGCCTTCCTCTGCCCCCACCCTGTGGTGGCCTTGTTCCCCATAGGTGAGTCTTTGCTGAGAGGGCCCTGGGAGTTTTTGGCCATCAGGAGTCCCCTGTGGGAGGAAGACGGTGGAAATTTCTGGCATCCAGGATCCCAGCTGGGTCTCAGTGAGACCTGCTTACTGTCACTTCACTGCTGCTTACCTCAGTTTCTCCACGATGAGGCACATTCCTTTGCTGGGGCCCAAAAAGTCTCATGACCTGACTTTGGGGGAATGCCCCGGTCTCCAGGCCTCAGTGCACCCATCTGTTAAATGTAGTCTCTGCTGTTCCTTAGGATGGTGTGTGTGGGCTCTGAGAGTTGCACAAACAGGAGAGGATGTGCCTACAGATGGGCTGGGTTAGGGGATGTAACAGGAGCTCCCCTGTGCTCCTAGGCCAGTGGCTTCCTTGGACGGGCTTGCCTGCTGACTCCAGAAGGCTTTCCTGGCTTCGGGCTCACTCACTCTCACCTCCCAACCGCTTCGCCTCCTAAACCTTCTTGGAGCCCCAGCTGTGCTCCTGGGGACAGGCCTTTCCTGCATCCAGGACTTAGCTGGTGACCTAATGTAGCTCCAAAATAGCAACGAGCTGAGAAGGCAAGAAAAAATACTTCCCACCTGAATGCTACCAAGGGGCTGGTTGGAGAGGAAGCAGGTCGTGTGTGGGCCAGAGGGGACTCTACGAAGGAACCCAGGGACACAGGAGCGTCGCCATTCTGTGTGAGGCCTGGCAGGCCCGGTGGCAGTGCCTGCGAATGTGACTTGCATGCTGACCGCTGACCACGGCCTGTCTTCGCCAGTCTCTGTGCCAAGAGCCCACCCCCTCCTGCACCACCCTCAGGCTGCTCCCACCACAATAGCAAAACACCATGAATGCAGCTGGGATTTGGGCGGGGAGGGGGGTTGAGGATATGGGGGCACAGAAGCCCATTGTGCCCCTGGAACCTCAGCTCTGGAAGCTGAAGATAAGCCAAGGGTTCTGAGTGGAACACTGGCCCTGGAAGGAAAGAGAGGGAGAGAGATGGCAGAGTTCATGGGCAAGTGCAGGAGCAAGCACCAGGAGGTGACTTGGATGCTTGGCAGGGCTCCTCAGCTTCTCAGCTTGTGGTGAGGGTGCCAGGCCAAAGCAGGCACAGGCCCTTTGTGCAGTCTTTTTAAAAGGCACCTGGGTCTAGAAACTGGGCCCTATGAACCCCGTTTCAAGTC